ATTTTTTTCCGAGTTATAAAAATATCAATTTTATTTTTCAGAAATGACAAAAAATTCAGCTGGAGAATAAAAAATATTAAAAAATATAATACAAATAAGTAAGTATAAATATTTTCGTTTGCTCATTTCTACTATTTTTTTTAAAATATCTGTCAAAAATGTTAAAAATACCGAAAAAATGTATATTTTTTGGTGAGCAAATTTGCGAAAAGAAATTGCAAGACAAAAAGCTCACTTTTAAGCCGAATAAAATTTTATTTCTTTCTCCAGCCAAAAATAACATGTGCAATATTTGAAAAAAAGGTATATTGTTTTATTAGTATTAAAAGTGTTAGTTTCTAGGATTAAAAGTGAGAATGGTAACAATTTTTTCGGAGTTATAAAAACATCAATTTTATTTTTCAAAAATAACATAAAAATCCGGCTGGGAAAAAAAAAGTTTATTAAAAAATATAACACAAATAAGTAAGTATAAATGTTTTCGTTTTTCATTTCTACCTTTTTTTTAAAATCTGTAAAAAATGTAAAAAATACTGAAAAAATTGAATATTGTTTTACTAGGATTTAAAGTATCACTTTTTTGGCGAGCAAATTTGCGAAAAAAGAAATTGCAAGACAAAAAGCTCACTTTTAAGCCAAATAAAATGTTATTTTTTTCTTTAGCCAACAATAACATGTGCGAAATTTGAAAAAAAATGTATATTGTTTTATTGTATTAAAAGTGTTAATTTCTAGGATTAAAAGTGTGAATGGTAACAATTTCTTTTTCGAGTTATAAAAACATCAATTTTATTTTTCAAAAATGACATACAAAAATCCTGCTGGAGAAAAAAAAAATATTAAAAAATATAATACAAATAAGTAAGTAGAAATGTTTTCGGTGCTCATTTCTACCTTTTTTTTAAATATTTGTAATGGTAACAATTTTTTTCCGAGTTATAAAAACATCAATTTTATTTTTCAAAAATGACAAAAAAAAATCTGTCTGCAGAAAAAAAAAATATTAAAAAATATAATACAAATAAGTAAAAATAAGTATAAAAGTTTTCGTTGCTCGTTTCTACTTTTTTTTAAAATATCTGTAAAAAATGTAAAAAATACCGAAAAAAAGTATATTGTTTTACTAGGATTTAAAGTGTCACTTTTTTTGGCTAGCAAATTTGCGAAAAAAGGAATTGCAAGACAAAAAGCTCACTTTTAAGCCGAATAAAATGTTTTTTTTCCAGCCAACAATAACATGTGAAAATTTAAAAAAAAAAGTATATTGTTTTATTGTTATAAAAAGTGTTAGTTTCTAGGATAAAAAGTGAGAATGGTAATAATTTTTTTCCGAGTTTTAAAACCATCAATTTTATTTTTATATAATATATAATACAAATAAGTACCTAAGTATAAATGTTTTCGTTTCTCATTTCTACCTTTTGTTTAAATATCTGTAAAAAATGTAAAAAATTCCGAAAAAATAGTATATTGTCTTACTAGGACTACTAAGTGTCACTTTTTTGGCGAGCAAATATTCGAAAAAAGAAATTGCAAGACAAAAAACTCACTTTTAAGCCGAATTAACTGACTACAATAATATGTGCAAAATTTGAAAAAAAGTGTATATTGTTTTATTGGTATTAAAAGTGTTAGTTTCTAGGATTAAAAATAAGAATGAGTTATAAAATCATCAATTTTGTTTTTCAAAAATGACATAAAAATAATTACAACGCCACGACCTAATTTACAAAAAAAAATATTGATGAAATATTGTATGTAGCACGTGATATACATATATGCTGCTTGAATATTGAAAGAGGCCTGACGAAATGCTGTTGCGAAATTAGGGTTTCTTTTATTTATAAGAAAATTTACAGTTTTGTTAGTGGAAAATAAAAAAAATCGCATTTTTAATTTATTTTAGTGTTCAAAACCTAAAAACTTGCTTCTTTTATACTTAAATTGCAGAAGTGAAGTGGCGTTCCTATATTTTTTGATAAAATAGTATTTTTTTATTCAATTGTTGCATCTTATTATGAGTACATTGACATTGACCTCGAAACCCCAGTACCACATTTTACGATGTCTTGAAACCGAAATTCGATACTAATTCTGTAAATTATGCATGCGTAGTGAAAGTCTGAGGAAAATTTAAGGCGGATACACCACAGGAAAGTTCATCACTGAACCGCATTTATATCCTTCATTTTCGATCAGTTGTCAATAAAAAAGAAACGAAGAAAACAATGACGATTAACATAAAAATTAGCAACAAGACTTTCTCTCGTCAATTATGCAAAATTACAGTTTAATTGAAGACAAAACTCAATTTATCGCAAGGCTGTGGAAAGGCCATTATTTCGATCCTAGAACTGAATTAATTGTCAGTGCCCTCAAAAAATAAAATGTTTCGTGTCACGTTATCATAATTTTATTGTTGTGGCTTTAATTGCTATAAATGCAAAATGGAGTCTCATTGCCATCAACACTATCATTTTTCAGATTGGACTTAAACATGCAATTAGAATTTCTTTGGCATAATTGGGTGCATGTTGACATTGAACAAGTTTATTTGTATTGTTGTGAATCGATTGAGCAAGAATATGTGCAATCGTGACGGTCACAATAATTATTATATCGTAAACGAGTGGCTAAAATGTATTCTGGAAATGATCGGAATATGAAGTAATGGACAAGGATTACTTTATTTTGAGGCTAATGCGCTTCTGCGAACTGTTGTAACTGAAATTTAATAGCAATTGCCATTTCCTGCTAATGAGAAGTTTGTCTCAACAACCTTGAGGCATTGTCATTATCTTGTAACAGAAATTTGGAATTGAAATCTGGAAAAATTCAAATATTTCAGATTCATACTTTTCAAAACTAATGTTTTGTGAAAAATCTACCAAGAATTTAAATTTAATTAAATTTAAAAAAATCCAGGTTGCACGAATTAAAATAAAATGGTTATAATAATAACAATAACTTATTGTTTCACATTTTCAAAAAGTGTAACATTTTAATAATAATACACTATAAAAAATTAAAGAAACAAGAAGAAGAAGTAAAATGTACATTTTTGTGTAAAAACGTGCCAAAAGGTGTCCAAATTATAAAATAAAAACTTTTTTTAGCAATAAATGTCTTGGTATTTGTTGAAAATAATATGGTTTGTTTTCAAACGCAAAACACCATTTTAGAGATGTGCTTACATATTTTTTTAATGGTTTCATCTAGAATTAAATTATTGTCATTAAATAGAAATTTAATTTTAATACCTCTACCTATCAGCTACACTATTCCAAAAAATTAAAGGAGCACAAAATTTTCCTAAATTTTTTTTGTTTTTTGTTTTTTGAACGGCTGTAACTCATCGAAAAAATTTTTTCCTGCTAATGAGAAGTTTGTCTAATAACCTTGAGGCATTGTCATTATCTTGTAACAGAAATTTGGAATTGAAATCTGAAAAAAATTAAATATTTCAGATTCATATTTTTCAAACTAAGATGTTTTGTGAAAAATCTACCAAGAATTTCTTGAAAATTAAAAAATCCAGGTTGCACGAATTGAAATAAAATGGTTATAATAATAACAATAAATTATTGTTTCACATTTTCAAGTGTAACTTTTTAATAATAATACACTATAAAAAATTAAAGGAACAAACATTTTTCTTAAATTTTTTGGTGATTTCATTCATCTAAAAATGGTCGCTTGTAATTTAAAAAAATCTGTTTTGAAGCTTTAAGCTTCTAGTTTTGAGATCTTTTAGTAAATTTTTTTTCTGCGCTACGATTATCACGCAATCCTAAGTAATAGTGCGAGAAAAAAATTGTAAAGTTTTTTTCTTGTATAAAAAGGTGCCAAAAGGTGTCCAGATTATAAAATAAAAAACTTTTTTTTAGCAATAAATGTCTTGGTATTTGTTGAAATTAATATGGTTCGTTTTCAAACGCAAAACGCCATTTTAGAGATGTGCTTACGTATTTTTTTTAATGGTTTCATCTAGAGTTAAATTATTGTCATTAAATGAAAATTCAATTTTGATATCTCTACCTAACATAGCTACATTACTCCAAGTGTCAAAAACTGGAATAAATGCCTTATAAGATCCTCTTATGATTTTTGAAAAATATTTTTTTCTCACCTTTAACATTGGTTTAAAGAAAAGAAAAAAAAGTAAGTTTTTGCGTTTTAGTTTTTTAGGTGTTTTTACAGCTTAATGTTCTCCCCATATTCCTGTAAATTTTTAAATCGATCCATCAAACCGTTTTCTCGGACCGATTGATCAAAGTTTTGCAAAAGAATTAAAGGAACAATTGTACATTTTGTTTCTGAACATTGTCTAATCTTCGTCAAGTTAAGAATGCATTAGTTAAATTTGAAAAGAAATGGAAAAAATATCAAAAAAAATTTTTTTTTATTTTTTTTCAAAAATTAATCTGTAGTTTTTTGAATCTTTACAAAAAATTTTTAATTTTTTTTAATTTTTTTTTAAATTAAGCAGTTCATTGTTTCTTAAATGTTTTACAAATTTTTAAAAACATAATCAAATAACAAATTTTCTTATTTTTTTATTTTTAGCAAATAACTAATGCAAAATTGTAAACAAGTCAAAAAAACTGTTTTTTTCATTTTCATTGAGATTAGGCAATGTTCAGAAACAATATGTGCAATTGTTCCTTTAAAACAAAACTATAAAAATTTAGATTTTTTTTTTCTTATGCTATTACTTAGAATTGCGTGATAACCGTAGCACAAAAAAAATATTTGTCAAAAGATCTCAAAACTAGAAACTTAAAGCTTCAAAATGTTTTTTTTTTAAACTAGATACGACCATTTTTCGATGCGTTACAGCCTTTCAAAAATCAACAAAAAAATTGGGAAAATTTTTTGTTCTTTTAATTTTTGTAGTATACTTTACCCTTGTCACTTTTTTCCGAAGTTAGGTACATATTTTACTAAAATTCGAAACTGTAATCCATTTGTCGGATTTAAATTGTTTCTATTTTTTGACATGAATCTATACGAGATTAAAAAGAAATAAATTAATTAAAGAAAGACTATTAGAAAAAATGAAAAAACGAAAATTTGTCTTTTTTTATCTCATATAGAAAAATATTCTTTTTTACACAGTGAAAAAACAGGAATTAAAAATATTGATACGTTTTTGAGTTATTTGGACCTCCAAACGGTCTTGGAACTTTAGTCATTTCTAAATAACAAAAAAATTACTGCTTAATAGTAAAACGTAGAAAATTTCTCATTGAGGCAACCCAAAATACACACAGGCATTTAACATTTAACATTAAAACTAAATAAAAATTAAATAAATACACAAGTTAGTAACAATTTTTTTTTGTTGTGATAGTTTTTTATTTACAAGAATTTTTAATACAAGTTATTTTGACGTATTTAAGTCAGGGAAATATTTGAACAATTAAAATTACAACAGAGGAAACTGAACTAATTAAAGAAAACATCACTGAAAAGTCCACAGTGAAAAAACCGGCTGCTGAAAACCGCGTCAGTCTATTCAATGTGATAGTTTGTACGAAAATCAGTCCTTTTTCGACATCCTTGAATTTATCCTCGTTTTCGATTGGTAAATTAAGAACTAATTGCAACCCAATGAACGTGGCTTGTTTCATTTCACAAACAGTGTCTTCACATACTGAAGAAATGAAGAGTCCATAACACTGAAAATGGTGTCAAACAGAGTAAGAAAAAACTAATTTCCTGACCTACCAAAAAAATAAAACATCCCCAAAAATTTGCAAGAGAAATGAGAAATCTCGGACTTGCTGTGGTGTTTTTCAAAATAATGTCAAGGGCCTTGACTAAAAACACTTGGATAATGGCAAATACTAGGAGGATTTGGACTCCAAATATTTCATTTACTAACTCAATTGAGTGATAAATGCGTTCGTAGTTTTTTGCAAAGAAATGTGGTTTCATGTTTTGGAGTAGAATAGAGCGAGTTTGAGGATTTTCGGTATTTTTGTAAGCCGATATATTGTTTAATTGTTCTAAAAGTTTGCAGTTTAGCAGTTTACATCTTCTTCTGATAGAATCCACAAAGTAATCATATTCCACGATAAGTAAAACAACTGGGGGAAATGGAATATAGTGAGCCATATGCTCAAAGACAAAAGCTGAGTTAAAAAGCAACATTGAAGTTCCAGCTTCAATTAATATAAAAACGAAATTTGAAAAAAAAATGCTTGTAAATCTCAACTTAGTCGAGGAATTAATTTTTGTATCAATTTTGTAATCCCGATACAAGGTCCAGTCAATAATTTTCAAATTGGTCAACAAATTGAAAAATTTACTTTTTTGGAAAAAATTTATTTGGACTATTGAAACTGCTATGCAAACCGACGACAAAATACTTATGATCAAATCAAGACACCTGACTGAATCTGGATTTTTGAAAGTGTAAACTGACCAATTAAGAAACGAAAAACACAAAAACAAAGAAATACAACAATGACATTTACTTGAATTTGGAAGAAAACTCAAGAATGATAAGATTTGGTTTAAAGGTTTGTAGAAATGAAAAATTGAAATTCTTCTTTGCATTTTATCACATTCATGTCGTTTTTACCAGGAGAACTGTTGTTTTTTCACTCTTATTAGAATCAACATAAACAACTTTTTGTATATTTACGTCACTTCTAATATCCCATTAAACATGCATTTAATAAAGTACATGTTTTTGTTTGTTTTGTACACTTATAATCAATTTTATTGCGTTCCAATTTTTTTCAAGTCATTCAATTATGTTTTTTCAGAATTTTCAGCTTTTTGTCACTAAAGATGTTTCAAATATTAATTATTTAGTTAAGTTTTGATAAAGGTGGAGCAAACAAGTTTTTTTTATAGCGAAATGCGAAATTTTAACAGTTTAAGAGTAGAAATTTTTGTATTTAAAACAAAAAAAAATAATTTTATATGCGACGTTGTCGACTTGTATAAAAATATTAAATGCGACACAGGAGTAATGTTGCCTGCCTATGTTTCTTTCTGGTTGAGATAGAACTTGTTTATTTGTTATTTTTAAATTTATTATAAAATTGCAAAAAAATCGTTATTTCTAAAGGAATTTAGAGGGTTAGAATTTTAACAAAATAAATGTTGAGATCACAGTTTTCTGCCAAAATAATCAATTTCCGATCCAATTTTGCTCGATTTCAATCCAGAAATCATTCTAAATTAATTTATTTCAACAATATGATTACTTAAATTCCAATTATTTTAGCCAAAATAAAGCAATTTGTGCTATTTTCAATCAATTTGGCTTAATTTTAAGCTAGAAATCGTTGTAAATTTTATTTTAACAAAGTAAACAGTATTCCATCAAAATAAAAAGATTTAAGCTTCTTTTAATAAATTTTTGCTTAATTTTAATGCAAAAATGATCCTAAATCAATGAATTTTAGCAAAATAAATAATTATTTAGATCGCAGTTTTCTACCAAAATAAAGCAATTTGAGCTATTTGCTAACCAACTCTTTTTGATTTTAATCAAGAAATTATTCTAAATTAATGTATTTCAACAAAATAAATATAAATTTTTGGTCAAAATAAAACAATTTGTGTTATTTCCAATTAATTTAGTTCAATTTTAAACCAGAAATCGTTGTAAATCAATGTATTTCAACTACATTTTTGGCTAACCAAACCAATTGGAAGTAGTTCAAGAGTGATTTAAGCATTTATTTCGTTAAAGTACATTAATCTCCAACGATTTCTAGCTTCAAATTGATCAAAAATGAATTATTTGAATTATTTGTGGCTTAAAATCGAGTAAAAATCTATTAGAAGTGACTCAAAGCCTTTATTTTACAGGAAACCGTGATTGAAACATTTATTTCGTTAAAATACCTTGATTTTGTATTTTGTGTTGCATAACAAAATTTTTGAGGGTATTATTACAACACTGTATCTCGTGTTCTGTAATGTTGCCTGCCTATATTTCTTCCTGTAGAAATAACACTTTTTTATTTGTTATTCTTAAATTTATTTTGAAATTACAAATAAGAAAATCGTTATTTCTAAAGGAATTTAGAGGGTTAGTATTTTAACAAAATAAATAAATGCTGAGATCGCAATTTTATGCCAAATTAAAACGATTTGAGGTATTTCCGATTGAATTTTGCTCGATTTCAGAAATCATTCTAAATTAATTAATTTCAACAATATAATTGCTTAAATCTTAATTTCGATCAAAATATGGCAATTTGTGCTATTTTCAATCGATTTGGCTTAATTTTAAGCTAAAAATTTATGTAAATCATGTTTTAAATTACCGTTTTCTTCAAAAATAAAAATATTTCAGCTACTTTTAATGAATTTTTGCTCGATTTTAATCCAAAAATGATTATAAATCAAAGTATTTCAACAAAATAATTGCTTAGATCGCAGTTTCAACCAAAATAAAGCAATTCGGGCTATTTCCTAACCAAATTTGCTCGATTTTGATCAAAAACTCATGGTTTCAACAAAATAAATGGTTTAATCCCAATTTTCGGTGAAAATAAAGCAATTTGTGTTATGTATTTCCAATTAATTTGGTTCAATTTTAAATCAAAAATCGTTGTAAATCAATGTATTTTAACAAAATAGTTACGTTCTTTAATTGCAGTCTTTTTTTGTTGCATTCCTTGATTTAAGCACTTATTTCGTTAAAATACATGGATCTTCAACAATTTCTAGCTTAAAATTGATCAAAAATTAATTAGAAATATCCCAAATTGCTTTATTTTGACCAAAAACTGCAATTTAAGCATTTATTTTGAATGATTTCTGGCTTAAAATCAAGCAAAAATTTATTAGAAGTGGCTCAAATCCCTTTATTTTAGCAGAAAATTGTGAGTTAAACATTTATTTCGTTAAAATACATTGATTTTGTATTTTGTGTTGCATAATACAATTTTCTCGTAAACTTCGTGTTCTGTAAAAAAATTAGACATTTAGGAATAAAAATTATTCTCTTAATTGCCTTAATATTTGTGTAAAAATGTTAATATTTTAGAGTTTTAAAAAGCATAACGGTTTTTGAGCCAGTGGGTGTAAGTTTTACACTAACAAGAAGTTTTCTTATCGAATTCCCAAATTAAGTGTGATAAAAATAATTCTGTTTTTTTTTTTAAATTAAAATTATTGCAATATCGACAAGAAGACAAAAATTGTGAACAAGAAGCCACAGTGAATTGTCAGTTAGGCTACTGAAAGAGCATATCCAAGTTCAAGATTTTCTAGAATTCTCTTTTGTCACTACTATTAATCATCAAGCCAATAACATTATCACCAACTTCGCGTTGCATTACTCATTAATTTTCCAAACAAATCAAAACAGGTCAATGGAAATGTAATATCCTTGAATGGTAATTTCTCATAAACGTAACATCTGTTGCTTACTCTAAAATACTCAAAATAAGCAAATTTTTCAAACGCTTTTAATGAACATGTGACAAATTGGTTTGGGTACAAGGAAATGGCAATATCCGCCGCTAGCAGACCAACTTTTACAAAATCAAATCACTTTCACGCGCATCTGAAGGAAGTGCCATATTTGGCGAGATGTGACGTAAAAGAGCTCAGTTTTGATTTATGTTTATTTATTCGTGTTTACAAAATTCCAGGACCTACGTAAAACCAACATAAAATCAACGGTTCTGCAATGACAAGATCCGATCAGAATAATAATAATTAGTTTTCAGACTTTCTATTGAATTAGTTTTTAATTTTTAATTTTTTTGGGTACTATTTTTTATACCATTAAATTTTGAATAATTTTTAATGTTTCCCAGACTTCAATTAATATGATATCTGAAATGAATACCGAATGAAGAAAAACACACAATTTTACACAATTTTATTAGTGTTGAATAATTTAAGACCAGTTTTCTTTCCTAAAACACTTTTGTAATTAAATGTTTGGTGTTTTGGTAAAAATGAGTTTCGAACACCAGAAAGTATCAAATTTAAAATAGCCAATCAAAAGAAAAAATGTGTAATCTTTATAAATCAAACAATTGAAGTTTTTAGAAAGTTTTTTTAGAGCTTCAAAAGACGTTTGAAAATCTCTGATAATAAAATAAAAAATATCAATAGATGATAATAATTTTTCAAGGGAATTTAGACAGTGAAAGTAGAACTAAAATTCCTTAAAAATATTTTTCAAGTGCAGTTAGAAATACTGAGTAGAAAAAAATCCACTATTAGGATGTTGAAAATTATCAAAACTTCAAATTGCATATCATTCTAAAGGGCAAGTCCATCCCTTTAGAATGGTCTTTATTTGAAGAAAATCGGTGTAGTAGTTATTGAGTAATGATTTTTTAAAGTTAAAGTATTTCAAATTCATTTAAATTAGAAAAAAAAATATTTCGTTCAAAGTGTGTGGACTTTTTAAATTTTTTTTAGTGCATTTGATTTGTCTTACTAATTTGTCTAGTTGTCTTTTTTTGTCGCTTTGTGTTATTAAATTTCCTCATAATACGGATGATTTTTTAAGTTTGAGCTTTTGCATCTTGCTCCATCATTGAAATTTCTCCAAAACAGTGGAACGGAAAGCACCAAAAGAGCGACATCGGCCCAAATTAAAATCGTATTTTATAACTTAAAAGACTAGATAAAATGATTTATTAAAAACTTCCAAAGTATGTGAGAAAGCAGTGAATTAAGCGAAAATAGATTTCCTGCCATTTTCCTCAAAAAGTTCATTTGAAGACCTGCTAATTTTGTGGAATTTTGGATGATTGTTGATTATTATTCTACGTCATTTAAAAAAAATAATTTATTTCCAAAAAGTGTTTTATATTTCACTGTTTTCTATTTTTGCTTATAAAAATATGTTTTTAGTGGCATTTCACAAAGACATCAATTTAAAAAAAAAAACAAGTTATTCCGGAAAACGGACTTTGTGATTTTTTTCTCTAGGTGTTAAGTGAGAGAAATTCATAGGAGTATAGAGTAAAACAAATTTAATTTTAAATTTGAATGATGTGTATATTCTGTAAATTTATAACAATTAAAGTGTTATTTTTTTTAAATATTTTTAAATGTTCTAAGATATTATCAAACTTCAAACGAAAATAAAATCAAAAATTCTGGATAAAATAGGGTACCCATTTATAGAAAAAAAAAAATATATATATATATACAGGGTGTTCCGTTTAAACCCCACATTAGAAGTATTGGGAGCTGGAATAATCGTATTTATTTGAAAATTGGTACATAGCCAAAATCCATTAAGTCCTCCTAAAAAAAAATATTTTCAAGATGACGGCACTTCCGCTTATACCAGAAGTAGGACTCAACTTTCTTATTTTAAATAGAAAGCTATATTTTTTACTGCGTTTTTGGATTACTCGATTTATTTTAAGGGAGTTTTTATCAGCTTTCCCTATACCTAAATTTAGCCGTTTTTGAAATATTTGGAGTTTTTCAAAAATTTTTAGATCTGCACCTTTCACTCTAAAAATCGCTAACTCTGCCATCTCTTAAAATTTTGAATTCGTTTATTGGTGTTTGAAAGAGAAAGCTTAGATCTTTCTTCTGGTGATTCAACTTTTGAAAAGAATATTAACAAACTCTAAAATTCTAAGGTTACTTTAGTAATAATTCAAATTCCCATAACGAAATGAAATACCTCAAGTTTTATTTTACTAAATGAAAGAGAATTTAATTCTGCATCAATCTGTACTAACATTCCCTATACCTAAATTTAACAATTTTCAATTTAAGTTTGTTAAAATTAATAAGAATTTATGTGTTCAAAATTGTCTTCATCTTGTCTTCAACAGTTTAACACCTTCTAGATACGTCTYTTGTTTCATGRYGTAAATAATTTGYGGAAAAAGATAYTGCTTGTAAAGTTTGTGAAAATTCATCTGTTTTTTGTAATTTTAATGAATTATAAATTTTATACAGGGTTTTATACAGTTTCTGAAAACTTAACTATAAATGTTGCAACAGACTGATTATTCAGTTATTGCTTTTAATGACCTAGACACACATTGACACAGATGTTTGGAAGACAAAACAACAGCTGTAGATCACGTGACATTTCTTGCGTACAATTTTTRCTTCAGTTTATAAACATTAAACAACAAAATACAAATAAAAACAGCCAATGGAATAGTCAATGTTTTTATTTCATCCAATTATTAGCTATTGCTGAAGCTAGAAATATAAAAATTGACAACTAAATCCACTACTAGAAAACCACTGTTTTTCTAACTTTTCCAACACAAAAATAGTACTAGATTATTAGTAAATCAATAACAATAATAATTTCTGTTTTCTGAATTCATTTCATTATTATAGTTTCTTGAAAAATTACTGAGATAGACTTATTTCTCGAGATAAATTAAAATACTTAATAAAAAAGGATAAACATATTATAGTTGAAATCTACTATTAAGTTATTAGTAAATTTTTCTTTTAAAAAATAGACTGTCGAATTCAAAAGTCAAAACCAAATTCTTGCAAGTTTTAAGAAACCGAATTTGAAATTTGTGTAATAGTAGGGGCAAAAAAATCTAGGAATGTGTGTTTTTAGAAAAAAATATGCAATAAACAGTGATTTACCGTATTTTTCATGCCAATTATTATTGTTTCGAGGAAAAAATATAGATATTCCATTTGAAAAACTAAATTTGGTAGCATTTCCGGCCACACCGGATGTGCTAAAAAAATTTGATACATTTACTAACAAAGCCAAGAATTAATATTATTACCTAAATATTTACTTTTTGAAAAAAAGAAGTAAGTTTGGGTGTTATCGAACACCCTGTATACTCTTGTTATAATTAAGCTTGCAATACGTCTAGTAGCTCATTTTTTTGTTAAAAATTGAAAGATACCAGGTTTGAGCCAAGTTTTCTTTATTTTTGTGAAAATTTCATATTCGTGTTCCTCACTCCTGAAAATATAAACGTACTAAATATTAACTATTAACAAAATTATCAATTCTCAGGTCACCCTCACTGAAAAACACCTGAAAAATTCTCTTTTGTATTCCTTACGTTCGCCGCTTGATCCGGCGTTTGAGTCTCCCAGCGGAGGGGCTCCGCCTCGCCACCATCAAAACCACTTTCCGCGAGCACAATCGCCATACAGGTCTCCACCTTACGCAACCCAAACACAAGTCGCGCAGATTTCATCCGAATCGTACGAAATGAGTGCATTGGGTTAAAAAACGGTCACGTGCAGTGGTACAAAGTGTCCCAATGGAGGGAAAAATCTCGCATAGTGGCCTTCTGGCCCGGAGTCCTGAAGGACATGCAGCCCGCGGGATGCAGATCAAAGGCAACGAGGATGTGTGGGTCGAGATTCAAGCCAACACTTTCAGGAATTGGGTGAATGAACATCTGCCCCAGAATTTGAGGGTGGCGGACTTGGGGCAGGATTTGTGCACGGGGGTGAGGCTGTGCGCGCTGGTGGAGGCTCTAAGGGGGCACCCCCTTAAGCCGGCGTGGAATAAAAGGCCCGCCAATCAGCACCACTATCTAGAGAATGTCACGACGGCGTTAAATGCTATTGAGCAGGATGGGGTCAAGTTGGTCAATATCGGTAAGGATTGGGGACTTGTACCATGACCTTGTGGGGCTTGTAATGACGTCACTAATTAACATTACGTTGGTACATGGCATGGTTTGACTTGCAACCTACTCGCAAAGCGTGAAATGGTGTTATATTCTTCAATGGATAAATGGGATTTACTGTAGATCTGAAATTGAGGTAGCTGTAGCAAAAGCTACAGAAAAGAAGGTACTTCTGAAAATTGTCAGCTACAGAGCTAATAATTGTGTAACTATATGTACTTTTTATAGCTTTTCTCTTAAAAAAATAACAGAATACCTAATTATTTTTTTTTCGAAATTTTTATAAAAACATTACAAAAAGTACTATTTTTGTGTTAGAAAACTTAGAAAAACAGTTGACTTTCCTATTAGCTGTTTTTATTTGTATTTTGTTGTTAAATGTTTATAAACTGAGGAATTTTTTTTCTAAAAACACACATGCCTAGATTTTTTTGCCCCTACTACCACACAAATTTCAAATTCGGTTTCGTAAAAATAGAAACCAAATACAATTTCTTYCAAGAATTTGGTTTTGACTTTTGAATTCGAGAGTCTATTTTTTAAAAGAACAATTTACTTAATAACTTAATAGTAGATTTCAACTATAATATGTTTATCCTTTTTTATTAAGTATTTTAATTTATCTCGAGAAAAAAGTCTATTTCAGTAATTTTTCGAGAAAATATAATAATGAAATGAATGCAGAAAACAGAAATTATTATTGTTATTAATCTACTAATAATCTAGTACTATTTTTGTGTTAGAAAAGTTAGAAAAACAATTGTTTTCTAGTAGTGCATTTAGTCGTCAATTTTTATATTTATA